AGTTGCTACACCATTGCAGCCCCCCCTATTATCATGGAACTTGTACATACCTCTCCTTAAAGTATTGGAGTATCTACCTCGAGGAAGCCCATCCGAAGCATGTCTTATGAAAATATTTGTGGCTACTGTTGAAGCAGTTCTACGGAGAACATTTCCGTTTGAGTCTTCTCCGGAAGAAAATCGAAGATCAAGATACAGTTCTGAAGCAGGCCCAGCATCCAAAAACCTAGCTGTGGCCGAGCTCCGCACCATGGTTCATTCATTGTTCTTGGAATCGTGTGCTTCTGCAGAGCTTGCTTCTCGATTGCTATTTGTGGTGCTAACTGTCTGTGTTAGTCATGAAGCTCACACAAATGGGAAAAGTTCGAGGGGTGAGGATAACTATGCTGAACACACTACCAAACACTCAGAATCCAGTCAATCTAGCCCTTCAAGATCAAAGAATTCTAAGAGACAGAGAGAACCCAGAAGTAAGAAATCCAAAAAACAAGGACCTGTTGTGGCATTTGATTCGTATGTGCTGGCTGCTGTTTGTGCTCTAGCATGTGAACTTCAGCTGTTTCCTTTGATTGCAAATATGTCTGATCCTTCAATTTCTAAAGATTCAGCGGATATTGCCAAGCCTGTCAAATTAAATGGTATATCTCATGAATTCAAGGACGGCGTTGACTCTGCGGTCCGTCATACTCGTAGAATTTTGGCAATTCTGGAAGCTTTATTTTCACTGAAACCATCAACCATTGGCACATCACGGGGTTACAGTTCAAATGAAATAGTTGCTGCTGCTATGGTTGCTGCCCACATTTCTGAATTATTCAGGCGATCAAAGGCTTGCATGAATGCCCTTTCTATCTTAATGCGTTGTAAATGGGATAATGAAATTCACACCAGGGCTTCTTCACTGTATAATCTAATTGATATCCACAGAAAAGCAGTTGCATCTATTGCCAACAAGGCAGAACCACTAGAAGCTCATCTATCCCAAACACCAGTGTGGAGGGGCCCGCCAATTGTTTCCAATCGAAGAAAACAAAATGATTGTGCAGGGACTGTTTCTTTTCAATCAGAAGTGCCATCATCACTAATTTGTGAAGATTCTTCCCATTCAAAGAATTTACTAAATTGTGGGAAGGCTATATACACAGACGATGATGCTGGAAATATTGCGGGTAAAAGGGTTGCCAACTTCCAATTTGATGCCTCAGATTTGGCTCATTTCCTTACGATGGACAGGCATATAGGTTTAAATTGCAGTGTACAAATTTTTCTGCAATCAGTACTTGAAGAGAAACAAGAACTTTGCTTCTCAGTTGTTTCACTCCTTTGGCACAAGTTGATTGCATCACCTGAAACTCAATTTAGTGCAGAAAGTACCTCTGCACAGCAAGGATGGAGAAAGGTATGCATGTCCAAATTTTACAACAATAACCATTTGTCAGAAACTTATCTTCTTAGTTCCCTACCGTTTTTATATTATTACTGCCTTATTCTGCATCATATCTCCCATGTCTCCTTATAACTACCATTTACCTCATCAGACATTAAGTTTGTTTCCATGTTGTGAATTTTCACTTGTTAGCCTGCATTACCTTATTTAGCAATACATTGCAGAATAATATTTTCGATATTAGTTTGCAATACTTCAATTATATCAACACATTGATGAATTTTCTATATGATTGCCCTTCCATCTTACATTTTGTTGATACAGGTTGTTGATGCACTATGCAATGTTGTATCTGCATCACCTGCTAAAGCAGCAGCTGGGATTGTTCTTCAGGTTCAATGTCTACTCCATTGCTATGCATTTTTTATTTTTAAATTGATTCGGACAATAGAAGAGTGGGGCCAAACTCACCAATACTCTGTGCCTGATATTATTAATAAGGCATTTTTAATGTCCTAGGATTCCTACCAAAAATATTAAATTTATTGGTGTTGAACATGTCTCAAATTATGATCTTGTTTAATACAAATACATTTTATTTAGTAACTTTTTATTTTGGTCAGGCTGAAAGGGAGTTACAGCCTTGGATTGCCAAGGATGATGATCAAGGACAGAAAATGTGGAAGATTAACCAGCGAATCGTAAAGCTGATGGTGGAATTGATGAGAAATTATGATACGCCCGAATCACTGGTCATACTGGCAAGTGCTTCAGATCTTCTTCTGCGTGCGACGGACGGGATGCTTGTTGATGGAGAAGCTTGCACTCTTCCTCAGTTGGAGGTAAAAAAATCGGACACAAGCTCTAGATTGAAATGCCTGCTTTCACTTGCTTTATTTTCCTTTATTTTTTCATTATCATCATGAAAGCTATGTTTCATTTGCTCACTGCTATGTTATTATTTTTTTTTTCAGAAATCGTCTTGTCCTGCAATTATGAATACTTTTAAAACTTTCAAAGTGTAGTGATATCTAGGTACAAACAAAGAGTTATGTGACTAGTAAAAATTGGGTGGTTTTTGCTGTTACATTTAAGAGATGCAGAATTAGTAAGATGATTATAATATCGTACTTTAATGTCTGGATGAACTTTATAATGTTTTATACTGACTTTTTGACAGCTGCTAGAAGCAACTGCCAGGGCAGTTCAATCAGTACTGAAGTGGGGAGAATCTGGATTGGCTGTTGCAGATGGTCTCTCCAATCTTTTAAAGGTATGAGTTTACCTAGATTATTTACTTCAAATGGAAGCAGATGATGCACTCAAGGAACCTTATAGCCATCTTTATACAAGGGGTTCCTGGAAATGATATTGCTACCAATCATGCCATAGTATGAATGGGATTGCACCCTTGTCCTTAGGAGAGAGAGAGAGAGAGAGAGAGATTGTGGCCTTGTGGGAGGATATATTTTGACTGATATTGTTTGCTCCTTTTTGCAGTGCCGACTACCAGCTACTATAACATGCCTCTCTCATCCAAGTGCACATGTTCGTGCTTTAAGCACTTCTGTTCTCCGAGACATACAGCAGAATGGCTCAGTAAAATTTGGTTTTAAACAGGAAAATAGAAATGGTATCCACGAATCGCCCTTTCAATACTTGCATTTAGGGATCATTGACTGGCACACAGATATTGAAAAGTGTTTGACGTGGGAGGCTCATAGTCGACTAGCAAGAGGAAAGACTATCGAGTATCTTGATACGGCAGCCAAGGAACTAGGGTGTACAATAACCATCTGACATCCTTTTTACTATCTTCTGAGTTCCTACTCTGTTATTTGTTTGTGAAAACAGAGGAAAATTTAATCCTGACAGCCATTCAGGCAATTGATTTTTAGGAGGTGGATAGGTCTTCTAGCACAGTGATGTAAAACTCGTTTCATTTGTAGTCCAATGTGCTAGTAATATCCAAGTCAAATGATACATGTATTGTGAGACAGGGAGTGACCACAGCAGCAATCATAGTCTCAACCAATACCTGCTTCGCTGCAGGTTATATTTGGCTGTAGATGACTTGTTATCAAGGAGAAAAACTAGGAGTCAGAAGGGAATATTTCCTTCAACAGCCACGAGCTGATTACATTGTCATTTTCTCAGTCGTTGTGTCTCACTTCATTGTAAAATATGGCCATGAAAAGAGAATTGTGGGAGGGTAAAAATGGCAAGTAGTTGTATAAATACAGTTAATATGGTGTTTTGACTTTTTTTTTTTTTTCTTTTTTTCATTTTTTCCCCCTGTTGTTAGTAGCACATGAACGATTCTGTATGGAGTTGATACGAGAGTACCAAGTAATTTGATGTCTTCTCAAATTTAATTTCTATGCCTAATTCAAGTACATAAAAGATAGTGTGATTTAGAATGATGCGCGCAGCATCCCTAGTTCCCTACTGGTATGTATTCTTCCATGAGTTCCATCCAGCTTAACCTACATACTCATTCAGACGACAATGAATTCAGTGAATGATGAGGTCCTCACCAAAAGGTTCTGTGGGTTTGCTGAGAATTGACTACAACTACAAGGTAGAGCTATCAAAAACCGCCACTGAATTTGAGGAAAACTCATAACGATAGTTTTTCAAATATGGATTCGGGGCAAAAGTAGAAGTATGGGTCTTCTACTATCCTAGCTCTTCTCAGTTTATTAGGTCATACTTCTGCTTTTGCCTTATTAGAGTCATAGTTCATCTATATAGACAATGGATTCCATTGATTAATAAGGAAAACATATTAATGTGAAATTTTGATAAATAGGTTCATTAAAAGATGCTTCTTATATTTTCAAAATATGATATTCTTTTTTTTTTTTTTTTTTTTTTTTTTTTTTTTTTTTTTTTTCTCTAATGCACAATTAAATAAATTCACAATCAAAAATGTTTTTTTAGATATCGTGAAAACAAATGATGCAAACAATAAGGGTTGGAGTGAGAACAAGTTAGGAGAAATACAACTTTTGGTTAGGATGAAAAGATTGTTTGGTGGCTCAAATGGCAATAGGTGGATGAGTTTTATTACCCTAATTGGCGAGCTTAAAGTTGTAGAGTTTGTAGGATAACAATGATTCCGAAATTTTATGTAATTATTATTAGAGGAAAAACAAAGAGCGAGAGTGAGGTTGAGAGGAACAATTAGCAGTAGGAATTGGGAGGAGAATCAACAATCTTAAAGATTGGGAGATGATTCGGCTACTTGAATTCTTGAGAAAGAAAAAGGTACAATGGGTACGATGAAGGCAACATAGAATTCATCGCAGTGTGAATATTCTACTCTTGTGGCGTCCTTATAAGTTGCCATTTTATTCTAATGATTGATGAGTTGCTAGTTGCTACATTTCAACCACCGTTACAATAAACATTAGCTTTACCGACAAAATAACAATCAACTTATCTTATTGTAAATAAATAGATTCAAAATTTCAAACAAAATATCCTAAACTGTATATATTTTGACATACACACTAATACACCATTCGATATAATTTTAACAACGTAAATAGTCAAATTCAATTTTGTTTTCTCATGTATTATCAATAATTTATTTTTGATTACTTCCAAAATTAAATTTCCAAAAAAGCAAAAAGTATCACACCCCTCTCATAGGTTTTCTATCTTCCCTCTCCTCTTTCCCCTTATAGTATCCAAACACTTTCCCTTTACCTCTTCCAATCACATCTCCCCAACCTTCAATCTAAATTCAATTAAAAAAGTATATAATTATAATTACAATTATAATCCTAATTAAATTATTTTTCATCCCTTATATATATACTCACACACACCCTTATATTATTTTCCTTGCTTATTTTTTCATAATTTGCCGACGCCGCAAAACTAATTACAAAAAACTCCGGCCACCGTGCACCGCCCGTGCGATTGTTAATTCATAGAAATCGGCCGTGCGAGATTAAACGATGGCGAAAAAGAGGAAGTCGATAGCAACAAGCCTTGATGAGGTGGATCGAACCATGTATACATCGTTTTGTAGTGCGGCTAATTCTCTTTCACAGCTTTATACCCAAGCCATGAACCATCAGAAACTCTCCTTTCAAGCTGGTGAACGTCATGGACTTGTATGATTTTCTCTCTCACTTTTTTTCAATTGGGTTTTTTGTATTTTGGTTGAATTGATTAGGGTTTTTTTATTTATTTAATTAATTAATTATTTTGTTGGATATGAGGGTTTTCTGATTTGGGTTTTTTTTAATTTGTAATTTTTTATGGATTTAATTTGTCGGTATGATTTTTTTTTTTTATTAATTTTTTAAATTTGTGAATTTTAATGATGAGGGATTTTTGTGGGTTTTTTTTTTATTTTTTTTTTAATTTTAATTTTAATATTTAGTTTGAGTGTGTTAAAATGGTGTTTTTTAAATTTGTTGAAATGCCTAATTTTTTTTTAATTTGTTTTTTAAATTTCAAATGTAAGATTCTTGTTTGGAATGTAGTATTTGTTTCATCCAAATTCTGCCTTTTAAGAATTTACTTTCTTGTTGTACTTTCTGAGGGCTGTAATTTGGTTTAGGACTGTAATCTCATTGTTTTATGAACTTTAGTATTGGAGAAATGTATTGAATTGTATATACTGGGATAGCTTTTGTTGTCTATGTTTTGAAGGTGGTGAACTGCTTTTTGGGATATTGTTTACTTGAGGTTGGAGCAAAGAATATCTTTTTGTTGAGGTTATATCCCTTGTATGGTCAATTGTTAGTGATGGCGTGTAGGTGTCATGTGTCGTAATGGATGACGGTGAATGCTTATGTGCTTCATTAAGCATTCGATTTATGGAAACATGTTATTTGAGGATTTTGTAGAGGAGAGTTAATTGAGGGCATTGTTAATTGGCAATTTCAATGTTGGAAAATTGGAAGTTGTCGTTGATTTATTTCATTTGTTTTAAGGAAAGTTAAGCAACACTTTCCAACTTATTTGGGGAATTTGTCTGCTTCAATTATTAGGATGGAACCGTAAAGTTGTCGTTTTTTGTTCAAGGTCACGAGGTTATTCATAGCATTAAATGATGCATGAACTTGATTTGAGAGGATGCTATGTACTATTTAGTCAGTTATGGTGAGAGCTTGATGATGTTGGGCTTCAAAAAGGCAATTGTGTTATTCTGTGAAACAATAGTAGTTTTAGTACTTTGATCTATTGGTCAGTAATTGTTTAAAATGAACCGTATGATAGTGGGGTACAGTCGCTGTTTTCATGTTCAGATAGCAATTATGTAACTATGTGTATCTGCAAGTGCATTAATCGTCTCTTGGCGTATGAACACTCATTTGCACGAGAAGTCCCTTCATTTCTGCCAATTTTGTTTTAAAAAAAAATATTGTGTACAGCGGGTGTACGTCGAACACTTTTAACCAACTTTGAGGGTAAAACTAACCTGATGATTTGAAATGATTTTAATGTCAATAGGCCATGCGATAAGTTTTATACAAATAATAAGGTTACATTCACACATTGGGATTTGATTTTTACTCTTTTACAGAGAGCAAGTTTATCAACAAAAACAAGGTTACATTAATTTATATTGGGGTAACTTTTAGTCATTTTACAGTAACTTTACAACTGATGTACCGATTTATTCAACAATTGGTCAGATATTATTTCCTAGTGCATATATAGTAATTTTTATTTGATTTACTATATTGGTTTGTTGATATTCTTTTCTTTACAAGTCTACATAAGATACAATCATCATAGTATTGCTTTCACTTCTTCAGGAAAAGCTTTACCAGTGGATTTTGAGACAGCAAGAGGCAGGAGGTAGAGCAGGAACAGTTGACATTCTAACTTACATCCAGGTTTATATATGAATCTAATTTTCTTTTTCCCTCTATTTTGCTTTCCACAATTTTCTTTATCTTTGTTTTGTAATGTAAGAGACCATTATTGTTCGTAGAAAAATAGACACTTTGAAATTGCCTGAGTTTTCTTCTATAACTCTATAAGGTCTGTCAGAGAAGCATTACTTTGTCGCTCACTCGCTCTCACTGTGCAAGCTTTCTTGAATGGCTGTAACCTGCAGTGATCTTTGAAATTTATGCTAGCTTTTCATGCTTATTTCCACATGATCCATTAATTTTAAAATGTTTGTTAGTTTTTTTGTTGTTTTGCCACTTTGAGTTTCTGAAGTTTCAGAAATGATCGCAGGTTGTAATATCTTGTCCTATTATATTTCTTGCTAAGGGTGGCTTGCTATAACAAACTCAAATGTTACAATTTTTTTTTTCTTCTCTTCCCTGAAAAGGGGCAAAGCCTTTATGAGGATTTATGTTAGAACAACATGATTTTTGTGTTTGATAATATTTTGCTGCTTACCTATTAAAAGTCATGGTTGATTTAGATGTATAAGTATCAGGTTTTTGGATTGGATCATGTAGATCTAAACGACACTAGTTGGGATTTATGTTCTTGGAGTTTGTGAGTGTTGATGGGGTGGCCAAGCAGAAAGTATACAACTACAACAACAGTAAACGTTAGTCCCAAAGTGATTTGGGGTTGGCTAGCATAAATCATCATAAAGAACTGTCCGAAAAGGAAAAGGGTCATAGCAAGATACTTGATTGAATAAAAAAATAAATAACAAAAAAAAGGTGTGTAAAGAGATAAACAAAAAGAGAATCCAAATAATATTTAAGAGTGTTTAAAAGAGAGGTAAGGGGATATAAAGGAGAGGAATGACATGTATATATAAATAAATAAATAATGGTTTGAAAAAACTTTAGCAAAGGGAATAACTGAAATAACTCTTCAAGTCTCCTTACCAAAGCCTTACTTGGTCTCCTTTACATGGCCAAACCACCTTAGGTGATTCTCTCTCATTTTGTATTCAATAGACGTAACCCCTATGTTCTTCTTAATCATCTTATTACTTGACCGATCTTTTCTTGTATAGCCACAAATACATTGCAACATATGCATCTGCGTCACATTCATCTTATGCGCATGACAATGCTTCATAACCCAACATTCTGTACCATATAACAATGCAGGCCTAATTACCTTTCGGTAGAATTTATCCTAGAAGACATAAATCTCCGTCACACTCTTCCACCTCAACCAACCTTTTTTAATCCTATGAGATACACCTCAAGCGGAGAGAATGTAAGGGAGATGATTCCCATAACGATGCGGTAGGGTAGTCAACCAAGAGGTCAATGTCTTGTGAAGAGAGGAGAGTGATTGGCTGTTTGGATGACAATCAATACTCTATTTACCCAAATAGTTGTGCTTATCCTGCTGAGATTTTGGAATGAGAAACATGAGTTGTTTCGTTCTATTGCACTGTTTTAGTATCTGTTTCTAGTTTTATTTTATTTTATTTGTGCGCCTGTGCGTCACTTTAACTTTTCATTGTGATAGGTGTAGTTGATTGTATTGGCATTTTTTCGCTTGATCAAATGTGGAAATTATATTTGAGGAAGCGTATGTATGTGGTTAAAGACCTGATGATTCATATTAACTGCTGGATAAATAACTTAATTGGCTTCCTCATGGGCTACAGTGTTGTGTTGTTTTGTAGTTATTTTTAATTTTTTTTTATATGCTTTCTCTGTTAGAACATATTGTCTACTTAATGTATTATTTATTGTGAAGTTTCAATAAAATTACTCCTAAAAAAGAATGGTGATTATAGAATGTGTGGGCAAACTGTTGCAGTGCAGGTTTTTTTTTTTTTTTTTTTTAATAAATTAGCCGACAGATTGTGCAAAACTGAAAAGTTGGTATGACCCTAAAGTTTGACAGATTTCCTGTACGCCATTTGTTACTGGTGATATAAGTTAGAAAGTTACATTGTGGGCTTGTGGCTATGATATGCTGTGCATGGACATAACACCAATTCTGTAACACTATCTTCTAACTGTAAAATTGAATTTCATATCCTTGTCTAACACTCTCAGCTTGACTGCTTTGAATAGCAACGGTACTGCCAAATGCTGTGCTTGCCTGCTGGGACTTCTTGTGCTTCTTACTTGTCTTTTCTTTTGTTAATCTTTCTTGATGTGTTTACCTGTCTTCATGCATTTTATAAATATTTGCTGCTGCTTTATGTTAAACATACAGATTAGGGTGTGCACTAGAAGCCCAGAAGTGCTAGAAAACTTAATTGCACTTGGAACTTTTGGTTCAAGATGATTGCTTCTTTTGTGCTTTATGGATTGTTTTAAAGCTGAATTACCAACTCTATTTCAAGTTTTAGAACAGTTGTTATTAATGGCCTAAATTTACAATGATCATACATTATGCTTAGTTTTGTGTGAGTCTGCTGTTTCCTAACTTGGCATGCAGTTTCTTTGGTAAACTGATGTCTATCACAGTTGCTCTAGTGTAAATGTTATTCCCATGATCCCACAACAATAAAGAGAAGAAAGAAAAAGAATTGTGTTTTTGGAATTTGATTATTTTGAATTTTAAATTGTTTGCTATCATGACTTTCTTATTTACATATTTACTCACTAGTCACTGGTATCATGTAGAACGAGCTTGATTATTGTGGAGATGAACCGTCTATGTCCCCTCGAGCTCCGGTCCTGCATCACAATTCCCAAGCTCCGGCAAATTTTGCAAATACAGGATTCCTTGTTTCTGGGCCATCAGCCCAAACACCAACTGCTCAGGCAACTAGATCTGAGCAATTTGATAATCAGACTAAGAATTCAGTCTTCTCCAATGCTTTGGCAAGTCCTGTCCGCAGGACTCTACAGCACTATCATCTTGCTCAAGGAGGATATTGCCCCAGTGGAGGTCCCCCATCTGGTAATGGTGCAAGAAGTAATGAAAACAATTATGCAAATAATCAGGTCAGGGATTCAAATTCAAATGATTCGTCAATGGACATGCATCAAGATAGCCCAGGTCCAGAATCTAACTACTGATTGTTCTTTATCTGTCCCATAAGATGCTTGCCATGGCTGAATATTCTATTCCTTGTGGGATAGTTTGGGGTCGTTTGTTGTTCTGATGCTACATAGTTTCCCTGGTGAAGAGAGCAACAGATTGGGTGAATATGGTTTCGGGACAAAAAATAAACATTTGTGCTATTCACTGGCTTGAGGTGTGTGAATAGGATGGAAGGGTTGTGTGTTTGTATGTCGGACGCATGATTGAGGTTGTCAGTGCAGTCCAATGAATTAGTGTTTTGTCTATGAAATGGTGGTGTTAAAGTAGTATACAATTTTTTTTTTCCTTTTCTTTTTTGCTTAAGTAGTTTATTAATGTCGAATTGCCTAATTTGGTATTGTTTACTGTTGATTATTCAAGAATGAATGTATTTACTGCTCTCTTTTAGTTTGTTTATCTGTACATCACTCATGTTAACTAGGGGGTATAGTGTGTGTTTTTCATTGCAGAGCCACATTCATAATTCTGAGTGGCTTTTTTGCTTTTGGATTTTCACAACATTGTATTTGGCTGATAGATGATTGCCTGATAACATTGTATTTGGCTGATGGATGATTGCCTGATATAGGTATTTAAGAATAGCATTCGAAATTTCTGATCCTCGTTTGAGGTGATAAAAAATACCTCTACTTATATTCTAATGAAGTTTTACTTATATTGGTGTCAGTTGAGTTCATAATGTTATTTATATTTATGCTTAGATTTTGCAATCCTGCTGTTTTTAATTAAATTTAGTTCAATTTTTATTTATTTTTTATTCTTTTTTTTTTTTTTTTTTTTTTTTTTTTTAAGAATTATATAAAAATCAGCTTATTATTAGTGCAGTTTTGTAAACTTCAGTTCAACCAGGGTTAAACTAGGTGTATTTTTTTTTGTTTTTTTTTTTCCCAAGTCTTCTTGTTTGTTGCGTTTAACTTTTTGCACAATTTTTACCATATACATTTGAGCATCAATATCTTCAAATACACATTTGCTTTCAAAAAAAAAAAAAAAAAAATCTTCAAATACACATTACTAAAAAAAATATATTTTGAAATTACACATAACGATGATTCTAAAAACATTTCATATTAGTATGTTTTATTGTATATTTATCAAAGATTCTAAAATTATTAGTATGTTTTGTTGTATATTAAAGATTTTAAAATTATAGTTTTTCTCTAAATCATATTGAAGATTCCAAATGAGAAATGTCACGATTATTAAATATTAAAAAATAGGAAAATAAAATTGTTTCGGGTGAAAACAATAGGTCCTTCGTCTGGACCTTTTTTATGGGCTGAAAACTGGTCTCGGTCCAAGTGATAACTAGGACGAGGGTTTCCTGCACGGCAAACACACGTAAACTGGCCTCGGGGGTTGTGTTGAGCAAGACCCCTCCGATGCCGAAGTCAGTATAGTGTTTTAGAGAAAGAATGTTATGCAAAAGTATTAATTGCTTGAGGCTTGAAGTGAATGAATGTAGAGAGAGGAGAGTGAAGGCTTTTATACCTTCCTCAATAGATAAATGGGCCTTGATACCAAGTGGGCTTGCCACGTTGACTGAACCATTGACTGACTTGGCATGCTTTGAGATGGTTGAACCTTCTTTGGGGTTTTAATTAAATGGTTTGTGGTCTGGCCCAATTAGAGTGAATTGGACCCAAACAACTTGCCCCCCAAACCCGATTTGGGATCTTGTCGAAACGGGTTTGACTTGCAAAATGGAGGGAGGCAAAGGATTTAATTAAAATTTGAACTTTTGGAGTTATTTGAGGGAATAACGGTTATTTTGAATTAATTGGGAAGTTGGATGGTTTAGTGGGTAGTTAAATAAAGAAGCATATGATCAGTGAGGCATTTAAGTGGAGTTAGTGAGGGTTTTAGTGGCGCGGACTCCCAAGATTCCCATTTCTGGAAGGTATTTAAGCCGCTCGTCCCACTTTTTCTCCTTATTTCCTTTCGCTAATTTCAATTTGCTTTTCCCTAATTTTCGCCACTAAACCGCTTTTCCTTTTTCCGCTTATTCTAAGCAATTCGAAGCTCTCAACTGGAATTTGTTCCCCCGAATCCATAGATCGGCAAATTCCGCATCTGACAAAGGTAATTTCTTTGAATTTTCTTCGGTTTTCTTTGCTTTTTCGAGTACCCCTCTTTTTTCCATTTTCTCGTACCGCCACTATTTGAAAATGGTCGGCGGCCATGGAAAAAGACCTGTGGAAACTGAGGAAGAGGAGGAGGAGGCGCCGCAGTTGATTCCGCGGCGAAATCGTCCTCTGGCGATGATGCCGCTCCTCAGCGATTTACTTGTTGGTTGATATGTTTCATGTGTTAGTTGATATGTTTCATGTGTTGGCTGATATGTTTCATTTGTTGGATGATATGGTTTTTATTCCCCGAGTGGGACTGTAATTAGGGCTGTGCCGATTACCACTTTGCCCCCAAGGCCTCAGAAAGAGCCAGCACCTCTGGCCAAAGCGTGGCTTCGTCACCTAGGCCTTTGACTCTCGAGGAAAGGGAGTGGAGAGACGTGGACGAGAACAACGACATTATGTCGGCTCGACCTTATTCGTGGTGGGTCGAAAACAGCGCCACGTACCGCTTTGCCGAGCAAGTTGGGATCTTCTACGACATAATAGGAAGACGGGTATTGGTGCCGAATGCCCACTGTCGATGAAAGAATTCACCGTCCTCCATCAGGCTACATTGGGGTCTATACTCGGCAGCTGCAATACGGGCTTCGATTTCCTGCCCATTCCTTTGTAATCAAAGTGCTGAACGGGTATAACATCTTGTTGTCTCAGTTGACCCCTGTTAGTATACGAAGAATAATGACTTATCTTTGGGTGTGCCTATTTTACGGGCTCACGCCAAGTGTACATTGCTTCCGCTGCATGCACAAGTTGATTCCGAATAAACAATCCAATAAATGGCATGGCCCCGGTTAGTGGAAAATCGAAGATGAGAGGGGCTTCCTTTCTACTTATCCGAATGATACCTCGGATAAGGACTGGAGAGGCTAATGGATTTGGGTTCGAGCGCCTTCAGACGAGGATCATCCAAATTTTTTCGGTGGCCCCCAATACTTGAGGAAGCATGATTCTAAGATGTTCAACATCGGGCCTGATGAGTTCTCAGAGGCCGATTTAAAGCAACTGCAACTCTTCGGCAGGAAGAAGATGCGTGGGCCTGGAGCTGCGGGCCGAATGGCAAATGCGCCTGCTACTCGGCTGCCCTGCTGCCATTACATCTTCTAGGAGAAGATGCTCGCTGTCATCGACCTCAGCCGAAAGTACCAAGGCGGTAAGAAGCTCGGCTGGGGCCGAGGACTTTATTTATTTTTTGCTCTTTTTGTTTTCCGATGTTATTTTCCTTCGGCTTAGCTAACCATTGTTTTGGCTTTCTAAGAGCTATACGAAGAAAACTCGAGCATTGACTATCAAGTGCTCAAGATTGACCAAGAGAGGAATTCGATCAACAACGCTCCCAAGATCACAGACTCCAAGGATCAAATCCTCTCTCTGCATGAAAAGAGGCTTCAGATAGTCAGCGCAGTTGAGTATCAAGTGCAGAAACCTTGATTCGAGAAGGTTGACCCCTATTTGAAGAGCAAGCTACTGTGACTATCGCTGCTGAGGCCTTCAGAAGTGGAGCTAGGCCTTCTACTCCTGCTGCTGAGCCGAGAGTAGAAGGAGAAGAAGAAGAAGAAGATTTCGAAGATGCTCGTCTACTGAAGACTTCGGTGAGTCCTTGGACTTGTCTTAATTTGCTTCTTCCTTCTTTTCTCCTTGTTTTTTTTTATTTTATTTATTTATTTATTTTTAATTGAACTTATGTGACTGTTTGCCCCCTTGTTCCTTCTTTTGTAGTCTGACGAAGGAGAAGAGAACGAAGAGCGATCCTCAGAGCCTGTTCGACAGATATCTTCAGACGAAGAGATGTCTGGGCCGAGGAAGAGAAGAGTCGTTATAGGGCCAGGGCAGTTTCAAGCTGCCCCAGTTCTTGTGAAGAGGCCTCGGCTTGAAGAGGAAAAGCTAGAGGAGAGTAAGGAGAAGGCTCCTCCCCCCTCCGAGGTTCCTGCCGATGGAAAAACTCTAGAAAAGACTCCTCCTCCCGAGATTCATGTGGAGGACGAGGTTCAACAGAAGACTCCCCCTCCATCTCCTCGACACGTGGCCGAACCTTTTGTTGGTGAGATTCAACAAGAAGTTGACGCTCTAGACAGCTTGATAATCCAGCCGGAGCATGAGGAGTTGCAAATTTTTAATGAGGACCCCAAAGACTCCGCTGCTGAAGGCTCGAAGGACGCCGAAGCTGAAAAGAAAGTCGAAGATGCGAAGGGTTGCGACACGCCTTCCACCTCAGCCGGCAACTTCTTCAAGACATTTCAGTCTGCTGAGATGGGGTTTGAGTCAGCCCCTTTGCTGGTTGTTCTTGATGCTGCCAGGAACACTCTTTGGTCTCACTGTGGCTCAGCTGTTGAGTTCTTTGGTGATCTGTCTAGCTTATTTGATCTGGAAAAGGCAAAGATCTGGTCCCTTCGGGCTACGGCTGGGATATCTGATCCCTTGGTGAGGGTTCCAGACCCTCTTGTTGAAAATCAGAAGCTGCTAATGCAGGTAAAATTTCTCATACTTAAACATTTTTACTTAAGTTTTTGTCTCGACTAATTGGTTTTTGAACCTTGCAGGGTGTTCATAACCACTACTTGGTTGTGGAGATGAATGAGGACTGAGGCTCAAACATGAAGGGGCCGAAGTTCAAGCCAACCTCGCTGGGCTCAGAGCCAAAGTCGCCGAGGAGGAGGTCACAAGGGTCAGGGATAACATGCAGGATCTCCAAACGAATGCTGATATTGTCCTCCAAGACTTGGAGAAGAATCTATTCCCACTCATGGACCAGGGAGTAGAGCTGCTGAGGAAGTACAAAGTCGAGGAGACCCCTGGCCTTGAGTCCCGAATCCGAGAGCTCGAAAGCAAGGACAAAATGGCTGAGGAATTTCGACAGAAATCTCTTGCAGCCGAGAAGGAGTCGTTGAAGGAGAAGACTGATCTAAGAAATGAAATTCAGCGACTCCAGGATCAACTGAAAGCGCAGCAAGAAGAATCCTCCCACACTCGGATTGAAATTGAAAAGGCTTAGCAACTGCTGGCGGGGTGAGTTTAAACCCAAGAGCAATACAAAGAGGGCTTCAAAAATAGCTTCAAGGTTGCTCGACACTAGTTTTCCATGCTGATCTGAGCATCAACTGAGATTTGGTAGAAGCTTGGTTCATGGACCCGTAAGATGTTCATATAAACGAGGCTAGTCTAGCTGAGACTGCCTTCCTGACTCGTCAAGCCGAAGCTAAGGCTCGAGAAAGGGAAGAAGCTGAGAGGATTGAGAAGGAGGAGGCTAAGAAGAAAGAGTCTGAGAGGACTCTTGCTCAGCCTGCCTCTTCTTCTGCCGGTGCTGAAGCTTCCAAGAGTCCAAGTGCAGCTGCTCAGGCTGATCCTGCCAGTGCTGGAGCATAGGAACACTATGCGAAAAAGATAAATGGGCACCGGTTTTGAACCGTTGGGGATTTGAGGGGTGCCAAATCCATGAAAATTTGGCACCGGTTCAAAACCGATGCCAACTAAAGCATTTGGCACCGGTTAACCGGTGCTAACTACACGATTTGGCACCGGTTAGTGC